CTGTAGGTGATCTGGAAGTCTGTTTTTGAGGCTTGCTTATGTGTTTTCTCATTTCCATGGGGGAGGGGGTGGTTATGGTGCCCACACGACTCACCTTCCCTAGGCACCTTCCTTCCAGGTGATGGGACCGGCTCACCTTCTCTGCCCTAGGAGCCTGGGATGGCAGCAGGGGAGCTTCCTTTTGGGTGCTGGGACCGGCTGAGGTTCTCTGTGCTAGGAGCCTGGGATGGAGGTGGGGTCCTTCTTTCCGGATTCTGGGACCAGCTGAGCTTCTTTGCCCTCCGGAGCGGGAGCGGAGGCACTCTGTACCATAGTCTGGTTTTCCGGTGTCCTTTGCGTCTTTGTAATGTGGAACCAGGTGGCTGTACAGAGGAGTGTGGGGGGGTGTCCACTGGATTGTTGCAGGGGCATGGGCTGATTCAGCGTGTTCCGCGTGACTTGCCTATATCCATTTCTTTATTTAAAATATTTTTAATGTAATGTAATTTCTTGAGATATAATTCATGTATCATTCAATTTATCCATTTAATGTGTACAGTACATTGTTTCTTAATGTTCACGGATCTGTGTAACTATCACCACATTCAATTTTAGAACATTTTCAACATATAAAAAAGGAATTCCATAGCTATATAGTAGCCCTTCCCTTCAGATCCCCTCAGCATAGTCTGTATTTTCTTGCATCTCACTGAGCTGCTTTAAGATGATTAGTTTGAATTCTCTTCCAGGCAGTGTGTATATCTCTGCTGCTTTGGAGTCTCCACATTCATTGTCCCTGTGCATGATAGTCTAGTCCTTACTGATGAAGGTGTCTACGAATAGCCTACGGGTTATCTTGGGTACAGGAATATGCCCTGAATACGGATGGACCAGACCAGCAGTGTTGAGGAGTCAATGGCCCTAGTGCCTCCATCAATAAAGGACAGAGGGAGATTGAGACAGAAGTACCAGGTTCCTTACCCCTCAGTGGTTTTACTCCGAAGCTTGTTCCAGACGGACTTCCATGAACCTCAGCAAGATTGAGATTATATTTCCCTCAGATATTAACTGGTAAAGAATACAACACTGTGGTTTCTTTCTTTTCCTTGACTTGCTGTCCCACTCCTTTATGGTTTTTGATGAGAATTCTGCTTATTATTACTTTGCTTCTGTCTCAGGCATCTAAGACTTTTTCCTTCTCTTTGATTTTTCTGGGTTCTAAACAATATATACTAACTTAAAAAATATATCCTTCTTAGAAATTGGTATGATCCTTTAAGGAGAGGATTTGCAAGTTTCTTCTATTACCAACTTAGTTACATATTTTAACATTACTCTTTTCTGAAATTCCTGTTAAGTCTTTTTGGAGCCTTTCAGTGTATTTTGGCTGTCTCTTAAGTTGTCTTTCATGCTTTCTGTCTTTCTGTATTAAGCAATATTTAAACTTTTAAAAGTTCTAACATCTACCTTAATTTTGAATTCAGTCTTGTGTAGGATTATATTTATTTTATCCATTGAACAATTAAATTTGTTTGATGATGTATACTTCATTTCCTGGGTTTCTGTTTTGTTTCCTTTTTTATATTTACTATGCTGATTAATAACCATTTATTTTTCTTTCATTTTTTTCCTCCTCTGGTTTTGTGGATGCATTTCCTCCATAATTATGACTATTTTAAATCATACTTATTTTAAAGTTGATGTATTGTACTATGACTTATTTTCTCTGCAGACAATATTTATCTTCTCTTGGGTCTGATTATTTTATTTATTGGATTTCTTGGCTGTATGTCATGGATAAGATTCTTATATTTAACATACTCTTGTTTGAGAGCTCATCGTATGTTGGTGTATTTTACTTCATCTTTATTGAATAAGTCCTCTCTGTCAATTGGATTTGTGGTTTTAATGGCTTAAATTCCTGATATTCTCAGAACTTAACCTTGGTGAGATAGAGTTTTCACAGAGGTGTTTGGTCCTTTTATTGTCAAGTTAGTGACTTGATTTCTCCACTTCACTGCAGACATGAAGGCTGGTTATGAACACAAGCCAAATGGGGACTGAGGATTTCATTTAGTCCAGGACATGGAGGGCTCTCTCTGACACTTACTGCACATGTTTGTTCTGCTTCCCCAGGGTTTTGCCATCAGATGCTCAATAATTTGTTCTGTTGTAAGAGCTCAGTAGAATACAGGCTCAACTCTCATTTGCCATTGTAGTTTCTTGTATTTTCTGGACTGCAGAGATCTGTGAATATATTTTTGAATTCAGGTATGTATTTTTAAAATACATAGTACATAACTTCCATGTATTTAGAGTAGTGGAACAAGACTTGTCTCTTCAGATGCTTAATTGACGGTTTACTGATGGAATTTAATTTGACCCTTATAGAAAATGTTGAAATATCACATGGTAGATTGTCACGAATCAGCTAAATGTTTTAGCTCCTCCATCAACCCAGTCAAACGTAATAAAAAGTCCAAAAATGCTGCTCTGTACAATGATGATTTCACAAGTATATCACTCATCTCATTTAAGGTTTTTCCCCACTGGCCTTTTAGTACTGCTGATGAGGGGGTATGAAAGTCTTCCATTTTCAACAGATTTATTTGATATCCTCAGTGGAGAAGAATGAGATGTTTCTATGGCTGAGGTCACAATGGTAACCATGTCTCAATTGATTAGGTTGAATGAAGTCAGAGGAATCTACCCTTGCGACTTCTCCATAAGGTCCTTGACCCCAGAAAGGTGTTCCCAAGTGGATAGGTGTGAACCTTTCTACAGATCCATGTTGAATATTTCACTAAAATGAAGAAATAAAGAAAAAGGGGGAGGCAGTTCTGCACTGGGAGAGGAACAGAGGTCTGACATGGTTTGATTCTCTATTACCTTTACTAAAGGTATAATAATAAAAAGTTTAACATTTATTTCTTTATAGTAGGCCAAGCATTGGCCTAAATGCCTAAAATGTACTATTTCATTAAATGTCATCCAATCCACTGAAATAGATACCATCATTATGCACATTTTATAGTTTAATTTACATATTATGTTATTGTAGGAACTTTGATCTTAATTATTGCACTAGTACAGTATACAGTAAAGATTTGTATTGAGTGTAATTCGTGAAACAATTTTCTTATGGTTATTAGCTAGTGATCACTTTTATAGATATCTGTCTTTCTAATGAGAATTTCTTAGAGGAAAAGTAGTTTTGTTTTTTTGATCTGGCTTTGGAGAGAGTGACAGTCCCATTTGTGAGATCATTGAGGAAGAAAAATAATCCCCGTTGTCAGTATCAAGCACTAGGGCTGGATTGATGCCAGTTCCTATGCCCTGTATTTGCTTGTATTGCCCACCAGGCCAATGAAGGTAGATGAGTGGGGGTCATTTTCTTCTACTCCATTTTCACTAGTAGAAATTCTTATGTGTTGTCCCATTAGAATTTAGCATTATGACTGGTTTTGATTGGTCTGATTCAAACCAATACTTTCTTTTTTCAAATTTCATGACTTTCACAGCCTGCAGGATAGGGCTATACCCTACATACATGCCTTGAGCTTAATGAGTGAAAAAGTATATGATTTACAACAGAATAAGGGAAGAGAGAATATGGGGGAAATGTCATTTTTCTGGGCACATGGGAGCAACCTTTGAATCCTGGGATCAACCATTAGGGATCCAGTTTGTTGTTGATTCATATATTCATTGTCAATTCCACTCCCTCTCATGTAGTCACGTACTCATGGAGTCAGTCAGACATTTTTCTTTTTAATTTATTTAATTATTTAATAACTAAGTCATCTCATTGTCTAGGTGTTTAATGACTTCACTAAACAAACAATTCTGGTAGAGGCCTTAGAATTTTATAGTGCCCACTAGGTTCCACTTCCAGAGATCATTTTTTTTTTTTTTCATACTGGGGATCGAACTCAGGTCCTTGTGCTCGCGGGACAAAGAGGCAGAACCACTGAGCTAAATCCCTGGCCAGAGAGCATTTTTTTAAGTTGTAGAAAACATCATCTTGGCTGTGTTTGTAGGTGTCTGGTCGAACCCCTCTGAGTATCTAACAATATTATTTTATTCATCAGTCTCCTACCTGAAAACATTTTACCTCACTGTTAACCATGAGTACAGTGTCTTGTTAGAAAACAACATGCAGTTATTAATTTGGGGGACAACTGGAGGTCATTTTCCTCTACTTCCAGAAATAAGGCAGACAAAAACTTCCAGTTTTATAAATTCATTGGAAATTTTTATTAAAAGTTATGGAAGCATATTTGAAAGAAGTTGCTGACCAACACATTTGTTAAACAGCTAAACTGCTGGGGAGAACTCAGGTAAGGAAAAGTTGTGGATATTTTTGGATAAATTCTTATTCTCTGGACTCTGTCTTTGCTTTCAGAATTTCAGGAACTAAACAGATTTAGATTATATATATTTATATATATTTAGATTATATAGTATCCCTCATCATTCAAACAATCCATGGCAGCTCTTGCTATACTTAAGGTAGATGTGGACAATGAGGAATTGAACTAGGGATTTTTGGATTTGACCACAACTATATAAAATAAAATTATCTTGGATGAGCTCCCAGAATTCTACATTTTGACAACCTCTCAAGATGATTCTTAGAAGCACTAATGTCTGGGAACCACAGCTCTATGCTTTGTACAAGAATCACAGTTATTTTGAATTATAAGGATTAAAAATATCACTCTTATGCATAAACATACGAGGTTTGTTGCAGAGCACATCACACCATTCTTGTGGTGCAATGTGAGATCCTATCACAGCTAGGTTCCTAATCTTGACCTTAAAATAGAAGTGGCATTACATCTCTGATAAAAGACACCCACATTTTCCTCTAATCTAGTCATATTCCCAAAGCACGAAGAGGTCTCATGTGTGAAAGAATTGCTCAAAGAAATTAAAGACAATAAATATTTATAATTAAAAATATTCTTAGACAATAGAGACCCAATGGAAATTTCACTTGGTTAGCGAACACTTTATAATTAATAGACTAAGCCTAGTGAAGACTTCACTTTTCCAGCAACCTTCTTGAATGCACTCTTGATCTCCTTGTTCCTCAGGCTGTAGACCAGTGGATTCAGCATGGGGATCACCATGCTGTAGAACACGGACGCCATCTTGTCTGTGTCCATGGAGTGACTGGAGCTGGGCTGCAGGTACATGAAGATGACCGTCCCGTAGAAGATGGAGACTGTGGTGAGGTGGGAGGAACAGGTGGAGAAGGCCTTCTTCCGTCCCTCAGTTGAGTTCATTCTCAGGATAGTAACAAAAATAAACAGATAAGAGTTCAAGATAACCAAGAGAGTGAAAAACACATTGAATGCTGCCAGCGTGAAGAGCACAATCTCATTTGTGTAGATATCAGAGCAAGAGAGAGCCAGCAGTGGGGGAATGTCACAGAAAAAGTGGTTAACCACGTTGGAATGACAGAAGGAGAGGTGGAAAGTGAAGGCCACGTGGAGGGAAGACTGCAGGAGTCCACTGGCATAGGAGCTGGAGGTGAGCAGGACGCACGCCACAGTGGTCATGGTGGAGGCGTAGTGCAGGGGCTTGCACACTGCTGCATAGCGGTCGTAGGCCATGGAGGCCAGCAGGAAACTTTCAGTAGTGGCAAAAGCTGCGAAGAAAAACATCTGGGCAGCACATGCATTGTAAGATATGATCTTATCTCCTGGGAGAAACCCCAGCATTACCTTGGGAGAGACAGCGGAGGCATAAATGCAGTCCACCAGGGAGAGGTTGCAGAGGAGAAAGTACATGGGTGTGTGGAGTCGAGCGTCCAGCAGGGTCAACATGATCATCCCCAGGTTGCCAACCAGAGTGATGAAGTACATGACAGTGAAGATGATAAATAAAGGGGCCTGCAGCTCTACGGCATCTGTTAAACCTACCAGAATAAATTCAGTCACCTCTGAAATATTCCCCTTCAAAGTCATTTGGAAATTATGAAAGGCCCCTATAACAAGAAGAGAAAACAAAAATTATTCCAGGTGTACACTATGGTGCGGTCTGAAGGGTGAATGAGAATTCTTGGTCATATGAGACATGATCTAAAAACATGGTGATGTTTAAATTAAGACATTTATTACATGATTGGACACATGGCCATTAATCCCCCTCAAAATGCTCTCCCTGGCTTCAAGCACATGCACTCCATTGTTCTTGCCCCTTTCTGTGGCAGCTCCGGAGTCCTCTTTCGTGAGAATCTTTAGCTGTACTGTTGTGGCTGCCACAATGTCCTGAATTAATTCAACTGTTTACCTTTTAGTCATTTTGACTTTGGGGAAGAGCCAGAATTTGCTTGGTGCCAGATCCAGTGAATAAGATCGATGAAGACACAGTGTAATAATTTTATAAGCCTGCCTTTCCATTGGATGACCCTTGGCAGCCACATTCATTGTAGTTCTGATCATACCTCATAAAGACACTCAGGAAAGAGGACTTCCAGAGTGGCTTCAGAAAGGGCCAAGAACAATCGCATAAGTGTTTTTAAAGTGAGGGGGAGGATTTTGAGCAGAATGAAATGATAATGTGTCTCATTCTGTAATTTAAAAAAATTTCAACACACATTGCATATTCTGATCACCCCTCTTATGCTCACTTCTGGTCCAGGGCAGCAGTCTATGGAAAAAGCCGGCCTGAGTGCTGGTTAGGGGTAGCTCTGTGAAGTTTTCCCCTGGAGTGGTAGGGATCGGCACTTAGAGCTCTTTGCTGACTGTGGTTGCCACAGTCTGTATTCCTACTCTGGGGCTCATTTCAGTTTACCTGGAGCATGACATTCCCTATTACTCCAACCACATAGGACTTTTTTTTAATCACTTGCAATATCTTAGAGGCTGTCTTGTCTACAACACACACAGAAAGCTGAATCAGCAGAAACACAGTGCCGGAGACACGAGATCCTGACAGAGACCATCTCCAACAGACCCCCACCAGCTTGTCCTTAGTGGGTGAAGGAATGCAGTGATTTGGAGGCCCTTAATTGGATGCCTTCCTTGAAACATCGGTTGCTATAGGAAACTGCGTCATCTTTGGGGCACATTCTTAGGGATATCTGCGTGTCTTTCAGTACCTCGAAAATTAGGGAACAGTTTTTCAGAAAGTTGAAGCAAAACTTCAGTTGTTTTCTTTTCATGTCACAGTCTTTACTTTTCATACAGGCTGATGTTTTCCACTTCCTTCCACCACTTGTATCTTATTTCTGGGGAGGGAGAATTGATAAAGACGTGAGAATTCCGTTCCCACCGGAGACTCTCTGGCCTCAACCGCACCCAGACCTCCTGTCCTATTTTATGGCGCCCCTGGCTGTATTCACCTGCAGTGGTGGCTCCGGTGCATTGCTACGGTTACAGAATGAGGGGTCCCTTCCAGGGATGACACATTGCTGACTCTGGAATCTCGAATCCCACACATTTCCTCGGCACTAACAATCCTTCTTATCCAAGGAAGGAGATGATTCAGCCCCTGTCCTTAGGGACAGCCGAGGTGAAAATCGAAGCTTCCATCATAGAGATAAGGAATATGAAATTTCTTTTAAAACCGTGAAAGACACTGACATTTTTAAATCAAGCAATCAGAGCCGTTAATTTCCGTAGCCTATCTCACGTCTTGTTGGAGACTGCAGAACATCCAGCTAAGGATACTGAGCGTTCCAACTTTGACGTTCCTGCAGAGATTGGCTTAATGGTGGCGTTGGTCAGGTAGATGCTGAAAGTGCTACAGTCCTTGAAATTTGAAAAGGGAGCTGTTGTGTACATCGCTGTTCTAATCGCACATTCTGAGCACTAGACAGGAGCGTGGTTTCCCTTTGAGCACAACCACCACCTGTGTTTTTACACAGGCGTCTGATGGTTCCGAGCATGGACACTGGCAGCACACAGGCTGGAAGAAGCTGTGAACTCGAAGTGAGGAGACAACTGTGCCTGCGGTACAACCTTCCTGAGCTTTCTTTTTTATTTGCAAAATAAAAATGGTTGAACGTTGCACTGCTCCTTGCAATTCTAACCGGCTACTATTGTATGTCTGCAAAATACTTACTTTTGTCCTAGGAGCAGACAAACCAAGGTACCAAGGAGGGAGGAAGGAAACCCTGATGTCCAGACCTGGGCCCCGAGTCCAGTCCTGGGACATGTGGTGCTGGAGAAGTCCTCGCTCAGCTGCGGAGCTCTGAGCTGCAGGGCGGATCTGGCTCTGCTCCACACGTCAGGCAGAGGCAGCCTTCCCTGCGTCTCCGGAGAGACAGCACCACCTGGGCGGATGTCTCTGGAGCCTCCTGATCCTCCACTGACCTCCACCGCCTGACCTTGGCTCAGAGAGCAGAGGACGCTGTCTGGATTTTGGCTGGGAGCAGGGGAGACAGGAGTGCAGAGGAAGCGTCTCCGAGCATCAGATCAGAGGCCCTGCAGCCCAGGGAGGCCACGAAATGCAAACCTCACTGTGGCCTCTCACCCCTGCTTGCTCACATCTAGCTTTTCCTTAAAGAGCTACAGATCTCCCCCAGGACTGTTTTTTGCCTTCCTTTTCATCTATTTTTTCTAAACAAAATGCCTATTTCTCTTATACTACAGAGCTCATCTGAGGGTGCTTTTTCTCTCCTACTTAAAAAAATTTACCAACACATAATGACATACACTGTGATGTTTCCACACATGCATACATTGTATAATGATCATTGTACAAATCAGGGTAATTAGCATTCCTCTCCTCTTACACATTTATCATTTTTTTTATTGCAAGAGTATTCGAAAATCCTTTCCTGTATTTATTTAAAATGTACAATGCATCATCCATAGCTATAGTCACCCTACCATGCAATGCTGTTGCAGTTAGACAGGTGGAGTAATTTCTTTCTTCTTTTTAAAATTAAGAAAATGGATTCCTTTTTTTCTCTGTATTTTTCACCTTTGACCCAAAGCCCAGAATACAATCATTTATCTTTTGTCAATACAGCCCAGGTAGTTACAAGTTTGAACTGTGTGATTTTGTGGTGTTTCTATTTTGGTATGATGTACATAGATACCCATTAATATATATCTCTATATACCAATATCTATATCTACATATCAGTCATTTCTCTTTTGGTATGATATATAAAATAAATTTTGTCACTTTAATTATTTTGAGTGTCATTAGTTGTATTTACAATAGTTTGGATCCGTTGAACAATCTATTTCCAAAAATTTTCATTATGCCAAACAGAAACTCTGTAACTATTAAAGCAAAACTCTCCATTTGATTCCTAGCAACCTCCAGTAATCTCTAGCCTAATTTCTGTCTCCATGGGTTTTCTCATCCTAGATATTTCATATTAGTGCAATCGTAATTGCGCTCATGTTTGGCTTAGATCTCTCAAGATGTTTTCAGGTTCACTCATGTTGTAGCATTCATCAGAACTTAATTCTTTTTTTCACGATTGAATAATATTCTATTCTACAGGTATACCACATGATATTTATCCACTCATCTGTAGATGAATAGTTGGGTTGTGCCCACTTTTTGACTATTATGATTACTGTTGTCATGAACATTGTGGTTTTCTACAATGGTTGTCCCATTTATGAGGGGTAATTAAAAATATGTGAAAGGTTAAATTATTTAAAAAAAATCATTACAATAAAAGACACATTGCCATGAATTCCCCTCAAAATCCACCCCCCGCGCCCCAGTTTGAACACACTGATTCCATCATCCGTGGCACTTTCTGAGGCAGTCCTGGAAGTCCTCTTTCTGAGCGTCTTTAGTTGCACTGTCATGGTTGCCTCCATGTCTTGAGTTGATTAAAAACTTTTACCTTTTGAGTTTGGGGAAGAGCCAGAACCTTCCCAGCACCAGACGAGGTAGATATGGTGGATGAGGACACACCGTCATGTTCTTATGAGCTGTCTTTGTCAGCACTATTCACCTATTTTTGATCATACTTCATAAAGACACTCAAGGAAAAGGACTCCCAGAACTGCTTCAGAAAGTGGCAAGAATGATGGGAAAATGTGTTCTAAGTAAGGGGAGAATATTTTTATATTCATTAAGTTTATTGGTACATTTTAGGTATACAGTATGATGACAGTCATCACTGGGAATTTGTACCTGAACATGATGTATCTTGGTTCTTATGTTTTCCCCATTCCCCTACCCTCTCTTCAACCCCTCCACCCCTCCCTATTTACAAAGACTTTGTTTCTGTTTTTTCCTTTTCTCATATCCCACCCCGCACTTTCCCTTCCCCTAGGGGAGAATTTTTAAATGGATTGACGGTAACATTTTTTTACTGTAATAATTTTTTTCCTGTAATAAAAATATTAATTTAAACATTCACCATTTATGTTTATCCTCCCTGTACATTCCCTCCAACACTGTATGAGTGTTCCAACTTCTTTATTTTCTCAGTTTTAATTAGTCCATGTTTGCAGTATGTAGTGACATTCCTCATGTGGAGTTGGTGCATGTACATAACACATCTTCATTCCTTCTTTCCCCTCCTTCTTTTTCTGCCCTCCCTTCATCTTCTTGTCCTCTTTCCTTTGAAAAAGATCTATCTTCCTTTTTCCTAGTATTTATCTTTTATTTTGCTCCTTATTTATATTTTGGGTTTCTCATGTAAAAGAAACCATGTAAAATTTAAGCTTGTGTGTCTGATTTATTTTACTTAATATTATGGTCTCAAGTTACATCCATTTTCCTACAAAAGACTCATGTTTATCCTTCCTTATGGCAAAGTAGTACTCCATTGTGAATAAGTACCACATTTTCTTTATCCATTCATCTGTTGATGAGCATATAGGCATTTTCCAAGACTTAACTATTGTGAGTTGTGCTGTCGTAAACTTGGGTATGCATGTCCCATTCTAATATAGTGTTTTTTAAAAAAATCTCTTTTGAGAAGATACCCAGAAAGGGAATAACTGGGTCAAATGGAATTTCTCATTTTAGTTCTAGGAGAAATCTTCATGCTA